ATCAATTTGCCATAGCCTCTTGGAGCAATGGATTATTGTAAGCCTGATTACCTTACAATAATCTTTTCCAAGCAGGGTGATGTAATGGTAACCCTAGCGATATGGCAGCGCAATTCAGCATTGTCATAAGTTTGGTACAACTGCCAACCTAAAATCAGTTATTTTCTCCATTTGAGCCAAGGCGTCAATTTTGTAATTTGTAAAAGGGATTCGCTACCCGACTTCCAAACCGACCGGTTCGTGCAAGGCATAACAAGGTAAGTGATTTCGACATTTCTCTCTTTCGAACTGCGACTGTAATGTCAACTCTTAACCCTATACAATTCAAAATTTTAATTTTTTAATTTCAATTTTCAATTTTGAGCTGTGCGACTGATTTTAAATACATACATACAAAAATAAAATGAAAAGGAATTACGAGCGGTGCGCTCTGTGTAGCAAGAGCCAGGACAACAAATTGTGCTTATTTTAAACCTCCTAATTGTCAAGTGAAGCGACAACAGTGGGCAAGTAGCTGCGGTGTTCCATTAGGAGACTCTTCGCGTGTGTGCGAACACCATTTTAGTGGCAGTGACTTTATTTGTTGCCCATCACAGCCGAGTATTTCCAAGCGGACACGTTTGTTCCCAGGTGCAGTACCTCTACCATACAATTCCCCAATGCTTGAGTTATCTGAAGTGTCGGCCGTTCCTGAGGTGTCTGTGGGGACGAAATTAGCTGTTGATGCACAGATTCAAACTGAGTAAGTCTGCCATAAACAAGCACGACCGGATCCACGAGTACATTAACATATACATATAAGCAAATGCTCCGCGAACACCATGATACAATTTTGTTCCACTAAATTTACCGCTTTAGATCACCACTTACAGTTATAAATTCGACGTTCTGGTTCTTAACATCCCTTTTTCTTTTTTCATAATGCCATGTGAAAAGAGTCGTGTTTTTATTTTTCATACATAGCTGGATTTATCATACGGAAATTAAGCATTATTGAATATGAAGAGAAAATCTCCCACTCATATACATGGATAGACCAAATGTCAAATGGTGGTATGATAAAACCTAAACCAGAAATCCTTGTGGACATAAAGAAACTGGAAGTAATTTTTAATAAATTTAATGGAAAAGAAATTTCGCATTGCAAAAATTTAATAGCTGAACTATTGAAGTTAAGTTCCGATGTAAATTTAGAAGAAAGAATCAAAAATTTTTTTTTAAATGTCGAATATACTCTAGAATTAAGTAATTGAATAAAAAAATAAATGCTCAAAAACATTGGGCTAATAAAAACAAGACAATTGCCAAAACTGTTTTATAAATAAATGTGTAATTTTGAGTAAGTAGATATGCATTTCCACATTTACATTAAACGAAAATACAAAAACTAAAATGAAGCCGATTTTAATGTGATTTTAAATATTTTCATATTTACAAAAACTTTCATTTCATAGATATTGAATTTTATCAAATATGGTACATGCATAACAAAGGGTTAATTTCTTTATTTACGTTTTTTGACATTACAGTCAGGTGTGAGAGAGCTCGACTGAATTGTCACTTTTACCTTGTTGAATATGCCTTGGGTTCGTGTTCTCAAAAATCTAAAATTAAAGCTTAACTAAAATAAAATAAAAAAGGTATTTTTTCAATCGGAAGTAGTTTCTCGCGGGTGATACAATTCCTACTAGAAGTGCTTTAACTTTTAACAAGGCTAAAGTTTAAAAAAAAAATCGGCGTTAATCAGCAGCTGTAGCAGCCGGCAGCCGTAGTAGCAAGGAGGCTTAATTTGACTTTCCGCCAAAAGACAGCGGGCCTCCGAAGATTGCAGGAATTTTCGGTAAGCTAGTGTGGAGTGAAAGCGTGTGATTCTGGGTAGGAATTCAAGTACTGTGCTGATAAAATCAGTACGTCTGGCAACCATAGGTACATTGCCTGCTCCAAATTCGGTAGATTATTCCAATAGCAGTTAACCACATGCGCGCGTGGCGAAGTCTCGCGCAACCGAGTTCATCTAGTCATTATATAAAACTAGCCGGCTACGGATGCGCGAGGCTTCGCCACGCGCTGAATGTATGCATATGTATGTACTAGGGATGCCAATTCCGGGATCCCGAAAATTTTGAAATATCGAATTGATAGTAAGAATTTCTTAATGAATTTTGAAGTATGATTTTTGTAAAATGCCGTTTTGACTAAAATTAACAAAAAGCTTGAAACTATACTTTTAAATTGCAGTCTGAGCCTTTTTTGAAGAAGATTTCAATGAATTTACTCATATGAATTTACTCATAAACGAAACAGAGTTTTATGGAAAAGTTAGATATTTTTTTAGATTAATCTACTCAAAACTTCCTCAAATCGAAAAACTTATAATTTGACCGACGTGCTGGTAAAAGAAGTTCAAATATTTTGTAATGGAGGAGATAGGGGTCATTATCTTCAAATGGATTATGTCTACCTTTTGACAGTTCAGCCTAAAAGTGTTGATGCCGAAATATGTTTTTCATCAGTAGATTTTGTATGTAAAAACTGCAGGTCAAGCTTAGAAGACTCCGCTTTGAATGCTTTGCTGCTCTTACGAAAACATTTTAAGTGCTATAATAACAACACCGGCAAAAAAAGGGATGTGTGTTTTTAAACAGCCCCACTACCAACATGTATTTCGACCCGCTGAATCCGATTCTGAGATCCGTTTGACTGTTACACCCTCAAAATTTCTACTAAATTGCGAAAAAAATGGCAAAAAATTCTCCGTTCGCCATTTCTTTATAGAGTAGAATAAACATGTTTAGAGAAATTGTTTATGTATATTTTTGTTTTATGTTTTTTTTATTAATCGTCACTTTCAAAAGTACCTGGTATTTACATTATTATTTGTGATGTATACGTTCCCCAATCACATGGCTTTTTAAATACAATTAAAAAAATGTTTTACTTTAAAATTTATCTGATTTTATAAATATCGCTAGCGTAGACTGCAAAGTTGCTAAGTCCCAATTTCAAATTTCACAGGAGAGGAAAAAACTTCGTATAGCCATTTTCTTCAAGTATTTCGCAAAACTTTGAATACATTTTGCCTGTTTAAAGCAAAGCAAAACTCCATACGAATCGGAGGGATTCGATATTTATTAAAAGATTTCGAACTTTTTTGGCCTTATCGAATTTTCGGAGCTTTTTTTGGCCTTAGCAAATTTTCCTTTCATTGAATATAAACGAGGAAACATAAAACAAGGACCTTTACCCTTTTCGAAACGATGCAATTTCAATTTATCTAGCCTCCTATATCAAAATATGATTTTTCATTAAAAGTGAATTTAGCAACTTTTCACTCTAAGCTAGCGATATATGAGTTTTACAATCAGTTTATCGTAAATTTTAAATAGTTTTATTTAATGGTATGCTTAAATGCTTTCAGATTCTGAATTTTTACTCACATTCATAAAATTTATGACTCAATTTGAATCCCGGGATCCCGGGATTACCTAAAAAATATCCCGAAATCACGGGATCCCAATTTTCTTGATATTTTGGCATCCCTAGTATGTACATTTACGTATTAGAAGAAAGAAATCATATCGCTAGCTTAGAATGAAAAGTTGCTAAGTCCCATTTTAAAAATACAGGAGAGGAAAAAATCTTCCTACAGCCATTTTCTTTAACTATTTCGCAAGACTTTGAATCAAACATTTTGCGCGTTTAAAGCACAGCAAAACTCCTTAAGAATCAGAAGGATTCGATATTTATTAAAAGATGTCGTATTATTTTCGCCTTATCGGATTTGTGGTGCTTCTTTTGGACTTAACAAATTTTCCTTTTATTGCTTATGAAGAGGAAAAAATAAAACAAGTACCTTTATAATTTTCGAAACGATGCGTATTCAATTTCTCTAGCCTCCTATATCAAAATATGAGTTTTCATAAGAAGTGGACTTAGCAACTTTTCACTCTAAGCTAGCGATATGTCGTCATGTACTTCATTTATTATATATATATAAAAAATCTTGTCTAAATCCGCTTAGTAGCGTGGTTAAAATATCTCGCCTTTCCGTTATACTATGTATAGAAGATAGTAATTTTAACCTTCAGAAGACACACTGGGGTGTAAGACACCCCAGTGCAAAGCCTATTTTTGATAAACTTTTTCGTTATGTCAATAAAAGCTAACCATGCAATTATATGATCTTGTACCTTTGAAAAATTCAATAAGACATTTCATTTTAAATTTATTTTATCTAAATATTTCCAGCGTAATATATGCAAAAAAAGCTTAAGCTGTGTGTTTTAAAAGCAACATTTCAATTGGGGTGCAATTTACCCCAGTGTGTCGTTCACGTCAAATAAAAAAGGTGTGTCCTCCGAAGGTTAAATAGGTGGCAACCCTACTCAAAAAAATTAAAGTTTTTGTACATGCGAAGGCCATGCACTTTCATTTGGTATCTTATTTTTTTATCCAACGAACGGTGAAGATCTTATAGTTTTTAAACAGGTGGCAACCCTTCTCAGATAAAGAATATATTATTACACATCCAGAGGCTAAATATTTTCGTTTGACAGTGACGGTACAGAACTGATGCCTACGCTAATTATGATTGAAAATGGTAATTTTATTAACAGATGGCAACCCTACTGAAAACAAAAAATTTTAGTGCTTTTCTAGTGGCCAATCCCTTTCATTTGACATCTCATCTTTTGTAATCCAACGAACGGTGCGGATCTTATAGTTTTTTAGACAGGTGGCAACCCTATTAAAATTCTAAGTAAAAAAGGTCCGTCTCCTGTCGATACAGATTATATTAGAGAAAACCTCGTCAAAATCCGTTCAGTATTTTTCGAGTTTACCGCGTACAAAAATTACGACTTTCCTTTATACTATGTATAGATTAGCAAAAGTCAGTAGATTTTTATGGCTGACGAATTTTAAGTTTTAACTCATATTATTTGTATTTGGTTTCGCCTTAAAAGTACTCAAAGCTAACTTTATTTATTGACCCTTTTCAGCCAGTCACAAAATTCTGATACCCAATTTCGATTGTGTGAGGGTGACGATATCAATAGCTGCTGCAACTACCAATGGTTTGAAGAAAAAGAAAGAGATTGGGAGATCGAAGAAAGATCCGAAAGAAAAAGTGAATTTAGAGTACAAGCTCAACGACATAGAAGTTCCCTAGGACGGTCACCTGTGGATATTATACTTCCCAACAGTTCCAACCGAATTAACAAAACTAAAAGTGCTACTTACAGAGATTCTGCAAAATATAAGCGCAACAGTGATCACAATAACAAAAATATCGGTGGTAAAAATGAAGACTTAGCACATGGTGCACAATTTTGCGGAATACAAGAGAAAAGTAGAGACCAAGATTTATTTTTTTCATCTGTTAAACAAAAAATATGCCATTCAAAAGTACCGTCTAATACAAGCAAGGACGACAAAAACGATAATCTCAAAGCCATCACCATTAGAAACGGACATCAAAATCATAAACAGCCGAATAAGAATATAGTTAATACACATAATTCAACTTTGAAAAGCAGTGGAAGTAGCACTAGTAGCGACTTTAAAGGCGACAATAAAGGCAATAAAAGTGGAAGTAGTAGTAGTAGTAATAGCTGTAATTGTGATGTAACTGGAGATAGCAGTACGTTACACGGATTCGGTGTTGGGGTATTAAACAGTTTCATTGGAGAATCTGATTCTGCCAATAACGGCGTGTTGCCTCAACCATCCTCCCTACACCGTTCTCAGCTAGGAGACCAGTGTCCATATAATGAAAAGGACGAGCTTAGTTGGGGTATACACAACCATTGCTATTTAGGAACAACACATATTGCGGGTTGTAAATCAAATAGCGTTTTGGAGATAATTGCACCAATAACAACAGGCCAACGAAGAAATTCTTCCATTAATTGCAAAATTTTATGCCATAATAGCTCAGACGATGTCACCGATTGTGAAAGTTGTAGCGAGTTGCAGCTATTAAGTTCAAATTATTATAAAGATGAAGATATCGAAGATGTTAGTTTCGAACGCCATACACCTGATGAGACAGCAGGAATCCCAAACACCAATTGCATTTTAAAACCAGTATATGCCAAAAACGGAGGACTATGTAAACTATCGAATTCTTGTAAAATAAAAAAACAACAGCATTGTGGGAGAAAATTCGAATCAACCGATTTTTCAACACATCCCTTAATTAAATTTTATGACCACGAACACAACCCTGATAATTACTTTAATATAACTGAAAGTTTTATAACTGCCCCCTGTTCCAAGGAATTTTTCAGCAAAATGGATCTGGAAAGCAGTCGCGAGCAAGCGACTAGAGTTGATGTGAGTTCAGCAAAACAAACAAACAATAATGGTATAACAAGCAATGACAACGTTAGAAATGAACGAACAGCTACTAATCACACACTGGGTAAGTTTCAACTCGCTTATCAGTTAGAGCTGGAAAACTATCGATAGTCGTGGCCATCGATAGTTTCGATAGTCGATAGTCACAACCATCGATAGTATCGATACTATAGAAAATGTCGACACTATCGATAGTACTATCGATAGTTTTGATTAAAAAAAGTCCAAAAATTAAACAAACAACTTTTATTGAAAACGAGATCAGAATCGCTAAAATATGTCCATATATTTGTTAAGGAACAAAAGTTTATCAACGATTTTTGGCTTCAAGCAGCATCTGTGCTCTGAAATTATTTGCCCTGCTTTGCTAAATGTCCTTTCCGACTTACAAGATGAATCAAGTACCGCTGGAATTTTACTCTAACTGAATAATGTATGTATGAGTGAAAACTATCGATGATACTTACAAAACCATCGATGATTTCGATAGTCAAAAACCATCGATACTATCGATACCATCCAGCTCTACTATCAGCAGCATCCTTATTTTAAGTACAAAAACTCTTGTGCCTAAATTTTTAAGTGGTTATAAACATTTTAACATGACCTGTTACCATATTATTTTTTAAAGCGGCCTTATATTGCTTATATTGTCCAAAGGCTCTGTCCTTCTAATGCACTGTCTTCCTCGCCATTTTACAAAGATGTAGAATTTGCATACTTGTCTACATACATATGAGAAAAAATTGTGTATACCTTCCTTAAATTTGACTGCTTTTTTTTCAAAAAAGCATTCAGTTCTGAGTGAAAATGGCTACCATTCACAACTAAACTATCGCATTTTTTATAAAGAGACAAATATTTAATGTTTTTTGTTTATTCTAAACGAATATCTTTTAAAGGAAGTCATTTACTTTTGTGCCTTATAACCGAATCAAATACTTATTATTTTCTTTAAAGTATGAATAGAGGCGGAAATGACAAACTTGTTAGTTTCCGGTAGATAACACTGGAGCAGATGTATTTCAAAAAATCGATCTTAAGGCCATCTGTCTTCAAAACCATGACATACCAACGCTGCTGATATCCTTCTATCAAGCAAACGAATAGAAGTCGCCAATAAATTTCTTTTTAGATTGATGAAAAATTTGATCTTGGCGTTTGGTAATGACTTCGTTGTAGAGATGTGCACGGGCCGGAATATTTGCTGTCAGCACGAACTCGTGCGGGCCTGGGCGTTCAGTAAAATTTCAGAAAAGCACGAAAAGACACGAAAAAGCCCGTTGCTAATACTAAAAATTTAGATGAGCTTTTGTTTTTATACAAAAAAAAGTACATATTTAAAAGTCTTTTGATAAGAGAAAAACAAAAAAGAAATATTTGGAAACCGTTAGAAAATATATGATACTTAGTAGTTTTGTTTACATACATATCTGTACATAAAATACCTTCCACTTTTTCTACTTCCCAGAAAATATATTATAAAAATCTTTGATGTAAAATATTGATTCGCTTAAGTAAATATACATATGAACATAAACACAAAGTTAAAAATATGTACATATGTATACATTCAATAAAAATTGGCTCTTTATTTTCGGGCTGGAGCGTGTCCCGTCGTGCCGGGCCGGGCCGGGCCAGTTCCCACTAAAATTCTTAGCGTGCGGGCTTGTGCGTGTTTTTGAAAGTTGATTTTGCACTCGTGCCTGAAAATTTAGGCCCGTGCCCATCTCTACTTCGTTAGCTTTTAATTAACGTGTTGAGAAATATAGGGTATGTAAAAGATTTAA